AGGAAATGAGCACATCAGGAAGAGCACTGAAGAAAGGCTTGGTTTGGGGTTATTTTTGAGGTTATAGATCTGAAATTCAATGTCACAATGGTGTACTAAAGAGGTGGTACTGTAGTTGATTTTTAAAAAAATAAAAAAACCTTATAAGCAGGAGGTTTATTTGTTTGAAAAACATTAGGGCTCCCACCAATCAAAAATGCGTACTTCAGAATTCCACCACCTTAGCCAACTATTTTCCACTTGAACTAGCAAAAAGACCAATCAGGAACCAATTTGGAATATCGCTAAATACGGAGAGAGTTGTAGATTTGATCACATAGCTTTCCCATGGAGCAGATGGAATTTTGCTTGTCTTTAGTGCCTGAATTCCTGGTTCACTTCTTTTCTCTTTTTTCTAGTCAGTGTATTTATTCAAAGTAATGCTTTGAACGTGAAAGTCTGTAGATAAGACACATTTTCTGCGATGAGCATTTTTTTTTCCAGTTCTGCTCTTCCATTAGATAGAATGACTATCTAAATGCATCTGAACATTGTGATAACCATAAACAATGTGGTCTTCATTGAAACTCAGTTTGTTGTTGTTGTTGTTACCAATAAGGACAATCATGTATTCTCACATAGAGATGGCCTTCCTCTAGCCGCAGAGCAGGATGATCTATCCAAATACAGTTTAAATATTAAAAAACTGAGAGTGATAGAAAGCAGAGGTCTTGAACGTGGCTGTCAGAAGTTGTAGTTGAGAGAACAGATGGAGTAGGCACTTAGCTTATCTCTGAATGATGCTCTCCCTCTCTGGTGCAATGTGTTGTTATTTCTATTTCAATTACAGTAATTATTTTCAAAGCCACATACATGCATTTAGTGTATGCCTAAGTGGTGATACTGAAGTCCTTGCAAAATCCATTTTAAGATGATACTAATATTATTTGTATCATTGCATTTGTGAAACTTTACAAAGTAAATGTTTTTTAATACAAATATACAGTTAAAATGAAACAAAAGGAGGCAAAGATAGGAAAAAGAAAAATGGGGTGATGAATTTATTTTTTATGACTTCCATTTGCAATAGTTTGATAAGGATGATGTTTGACAGCATTATTTAAGGCTTTCGGCAACTTTAGCAAGCTATCTTTCCTGGGAAAGAGAATGAATGAAATCCAGATATGGACATTTGTGACCTGATAATATTCAAGTAAGTACAGTGTAATACATTCTACATAAAACAGTACTGAAAACTTTCAAACTAGCCCTTCTAAAGAGAATGGCAAACCACTCTCATATTGGTGCCCATGAATCTGTCCATGAAGTTACCAGGAGTTGTGTTTGACTCAAGGGAAACTTTTTCTTAATATATTTTAATCTTTTATATATATTTTTAGTCAGTGTATTTATTCAAAGTAATGCTTTGAACGTGAAAGTCTGTAGATAAGACACATTTTCTGCAATGAGAATTTATTTTTCATTTCTGCTCTTCCATTTCACCCTGTTTATAAAATGATAGAATGACTATCTAAATGCATCTGAACATTGTGATAACCATAAACAATGTGGTCTTCATTGAAACTAATTTTGTTATTTTTGTTGTTGTTGTTATTGTTGTTACCAATAAGGACAATCATGTATCTGTCCATGAAGTTACCAGGAATTGTGTTTGACTCAAGGGAAACTTTTCCTTAATATATTTTAAACATTTATATTTACCCTACTACAGTGATGGCGACCTTTTAGAGACCAAGTGTCCAAAAACTGGCCCCGCCCCCGCTCCACCCCCTGCCCCGACCCCACCCCGCCTCCCCGCAGGGCCACTCACCGTCTCCAGGGCCTGCTGCAGATTGCCCAGGCAGCCCAGCAGTGCCATGGCGGCCACGCCCTCTTCCCACGCCCCGCAGCATCAACTGTGCATGATGGGGCGTGAGGCCAGATTCTTGTCTATGCTGCCTGGCTGCCATGTTCTTGGCTGTGCTGCTCCACATGGGCCACACTCAGGGGCGACTCTTCTCCAGGGGGGCTGCTGGTGAGGAGGGGGTCACGGGGGAGGCAAGGCTGGGACAATGGCACGTGTGCCCACAGAGAGGGCTCTGAGCGACACCTCTGGCACGCGTGCCATAGGTTCACCACCACTGCCCTACTATATGCTTCAGGTTTAATCTATATTATAATAATAATAAAGTTGGAAGGGATCTTGGAGGTCATCTAGTCCAACCCCCTGCTCAGGCAGGAAACCCTATACCATTTCAGACAAATGGCTGTTCTATCTCTTCTTAAAGACTTCCCGTGTTGGAGCATTCACCACTTCTGGAGGCAGATTGTTCCACTAGTTAATTGTTCTAACTGTCAGGAAGTTTCTCCTTAGTTCTAGGTTGCTTCTCTCTTTGGTTAGTTTCCATCCATTATATGAACTATCTCTGAATTAGGGCTGAAAGGCAAAGCAAAATTGCTTTATATAAATGACATAGATCCATCTATAAAGAGTTTAGGTTAGAAAAAAATATTTTTAGAAATTCAGGTTAAAACCAGACCTCTCTTTGTCTCTTAACTTTCCTGTTTTTTTCATGATTAAGGGCAGGATTAAACTTAAGTCTCTTAGGATTGTTTATAGCCATCTAAATCATGTTCTGTTCAGAGAGGGAGGGGAGGGCATGAAGCAGACAACCTAAGAGGTGCCACACATTCTTCAATAAGAGATAACTGGATGATTTAAGGTACAAGCTTGTTTGAGAATGGATGAAAAGGATTGGAACTACAGCCCTGTGTTTAGCCACATATCATGAGAGCCAGGTGTTTTCCTTCAATGGATAAATTATTTGTTGCCGTTATTCATTTAGGTCATCTTATACCCAATGAATTATTCATTCCAGCATCTCCATGAGCTAATCAGGATGATCAAATATGAGGTCAGAAAGCAATTTTTCCTGGGAAGGGAACAGAAGCAGTCTATAGCAAGGACAAGATTAGCACTTTTAAACTATCTCTATTTGAGTACTTCTAGAAAGCTTACTGATAACAGTATTGGCTCCCTATCTTTAATACTCAAAGATCTAGGGCAGGTAGCACATTGTATAATAAATTGTGTAATTTTGCAACATTTTCCTACTTATTTTGAAAAATTCAGTTGGCTAGCTGTAGTTGAGTTCACCCATAGTGCTTAATCATTACTTTGGCTAATCGTGGCTTGATGAAGAAGCCATAATTGGTGGGTTGTTAAAATACCCTAAGTGATTTTTTTTTAAAGTACAATTTAGTGCAACTTTTGAACTTAGAATATGGTTTGGATATTAAAACAGTTTGGATGTTAAAACAAATCACGCATTCTAGCTTGGTGAAGGTATTAGACACATATTTGTTTATTATCAGACCACGGTGAATTATCCCTTTATTTCTTAAGGTTTCTTTCTTTGCTTTCTGGAAGTCTGGCAGCAGCCCTTTATGTACTAAGGAGAACTGGATATGACCTTTTATTTGAAGCAAAACCTCTGTTGCATACCTTAAAACTCACTCCAATCTTATGATTCTTATGATTCTGTTACTCCTAAGTAACAGTAAATCTGCACAAGCCTGAATTTTAGTCTTAGGTGGAGTTTATTTATCTGCCTGGTTCTGACAGCTTAAAGATCTCACAGCTCGTCTTGCAACATCCATAGCAGTCTTGATAGTTGATCAATTGACGCACCAAAATAAGTTGGAGATAAATTGGAGGACGCAATTATTAGATTCTGCATGAGATATCAGAGAAAAATAACAAGTGTTGATCCAAAGCAAACAAGAACAAGTAAACAAACGTCCAGCTTCATAATTCACTTCTTGCAAAGCACCTTCCACACACTCAAGAGCCACCACCAGTTTCCATGTCGCTTGAGGCACTTTCTTCTGTGTGTTATAAGTCAAACAAGACTGTCTAAACATCTCTGTCCATTGGTTGTTATATAGCAGATCTTTTTCTAAACAAAGAAAATGCAGCCAAGCGGAAGCGAGCATGGAAGAAAACATGGAAAGTCTGCTTCAAGGTTAAACCTCAAGGTTAAAAGAGCTGTATGAAAAAGCTACAAATTTTTTTTCCCTTTCATCTCTACCAACATTGTTATTCACAACACCCTTTCCCAAACATGGGATTTTGTAACTTGAAAGCTGATTTGGAAACAGGTTGAGGAAAGGAGGTTTATATAATACTTTTTAAATGTTCAGAATTTTTCATTTACGAAATCTCAGCTGGCCTTACCTGACTGAACAACATAGAGCAATAATATTGCCATATGGCAGTGTTTTTCATCCTCAGCAACATTAAGATGTGTGGACTTCAGCTTCCAGAATTCTCCAGTCAGCATGCTAGCCAGGTAATTCTGGAAGTTGAAATCCACACATCTTAAAATTGCTGAGATTGAGAAACACTGTTACACTTCATTTAGAGAAGGATGACACTAAGAAAAAAAAAGTGCCTATCTATAGCTACCCTAATAAAGCACATAAAAAACAGAATTGTGCTCATAACACTGTGTCTGCCATCATGTTTTTCTCACCTTGCAGACACCTCTGTCAGCACCCCTGATCTTATGAAAATTCAGTAGTTGTCTCCATGTGCTTTTAAACTGTAAAGGCCAAAATAATATTTTTTAAGTAAAAATAGGACTTCCTTGAAGTTCAATTCTCTTCCTAAAATTACATTCTATATGCAGGATGCATATGTCCCCCTACATCATTTTATAATGCTGTCGCACTTAACAATCTTGAACTGCCATCAATGTCCCTGATGCAATACTTGAATAGTATTTAATGTAAGCCTTTGTATATGTTTAGAACTTTCAGAGAGATAAATTATCAGTACTGACAGGGCAAGCTACTATAAATAAACAGAGAGCAAACCCACTCCTAATCTGGTACCTAAACATCTGCAAGCAACAAACAAGTTCAGAGAGCACTAAGGATTCCACAGAGAAATAAATTACACCATACAGTATATATTAAAGTAATAAAATGCTGCACCATGTGCAAGTGTCGGGTGCACCATGGTAAGCCCACATAGCCACACAGCTTTGAAAGCTGAAATGGCTTCCAAGTGCCATCTGAGGTCCTGGTTATCACCTATTAAAGACCTAGGAGCCCTGGTAGTGCAGTGGTTAGAATGCAGTATTGCAGGAAAACTCTGCCCACAGCCTGGAGTTTGATTCTGATGGGGCTCAAGGTTGTTTTAGCCTTCAATCTATAGGGATTGTACAAAAGGGTATTCTTGTTGTTAGCCTAATTATCGCCATTTTGCTTCTGTAAACTGTGCTTGCGTTAGGGATGCCATTTTGTGAAGGCAGGAAGAACACGTACACAGACCCAGAGATAAGGAAAAGAGCGGGAAAGGAATGAAATGTGATTGGCTGATATTATGTGTACTGACATGGTGAACTTTATGATTGGTTATTGCCTGCCTATATAAAGAAGTGCCTAACTGACCAGTATGTGGCACTTCTGAACGCAGCTGGCAGTGTTTTAGATAGTGTTCCACCCAGCAACTTCACTTGGCCAAATAAAGTTCTGTTTCTCTTGGAAGTCTCTGCTTGAGTCTCCTCTTGGAACCTCAAGTTCTTTGGGTAGCTGTTGACCCTTACAAATCCTTCTGAGGCTGGTAAAATGAGAAGCCAGATTGTTGGAAGCAATATGTTTACATTGCAAACTGCCCAGAGAGTGTTGTAAAGCACTATGGGGCAGTATATAATCCAAGTGCTATTGCTACATGTCTGAGGGCCAATTATTTCCACTTCCTGCCCATAAACTGGCAAAGTTAGCATACTCCAGGTATTTCTCTGCTGTTATCTACCAAGGCTGGGAACCACACCTTCACTGTTGTGCACCTTCCATCCAGCTTCAAATGTTTTAGACTCTGTTAGTTTAGGACCAGGATGTTAACTGATCCCGATATATAGGGGTAGTGAGTTTTCCATTTGGACAATTTATTACAAGTCTAAATTAAATTATCAGCAAGATGGATTCTGTAATTAATGAAAGCGAAGGAATTAGGAGTGGAGTCAACATTCAAAAAAATCTCATATCATTTTATAAAAACAAAATGGCTTAAAAGAAACACATTTAAAACTTAGGTGAGCAAAAATAGATTTGAAGATGGAATACCTGATGAAAATTTAGGAGCTACAATAAAAGCATCTGGATTGGATATTCAGCAGTCGGAAAGTAGGGAGAAATCAGTCCAGCACTTAAGCGTTTCTATGCAGAACTTAGTCTTGTAGAATTCAATTACAGTTTCTCCCAGGAAAGTATGTTTAAGATTGCAGTCCCGTGTGCATCTGCGTCAATATTGATTTTCTAATCCCAGGCGGCCTTTGTGTACTACTATTGTTACAATGCAGTCCCAAGCAAGCTTCTTCAGAAGTAATTCCTACTGAACTCTATACAGTGTTCTCTAGTAAAGGAGAAAAAAAAATGCCCAAGCTTGATCGTGAGAAACTTGATCGTGGTGATGGCCTCCATACAGTTTTATTGGTACTTATAAGGAAGATGTTTGCCACTGTATTTCTCTGGAATGTTTTTGTTTTCAAATGTTAGGCAGTCTAGTGAACAATCCTGAAATTTTCAGGTGGCCCCCATCCAGGTACCTAGCCACCATGGACAGATCCATATAATCCAGGATTCTATGTGCCCAGAAAAAAAAGCCCCCCCCCCAAAAAAAAGAGAAGGGAGGCCAGGAGAATGGCAAAATGCTAGCCCCATTTTATTATGTAGTTGGTTTTGGACTGGGTAAAAAAGATTTAACAGAAATAGAAACTATTTAGAAACATATCCTCATGGAGCACAAGCCTTTTAAAATTAAACATTAATTGTAAAATTAATGTTTAAATTAAAATTAAATTAAATGTTACAAAATCTAAGGAAGGCTGCTTGCAGATGTATTTATATAAATAAATAATATAGTTAAAATTAAATTAAATGTTATGGAATCTAAGGAAGGCTGCTTGCAAGTGTATGTATGTATGTATGTATGTATGTATGTATGTATGTATGTATGTATGTATGTATGTGTCATGTGTGACTAATGAAACACTTCAAAGAACTTTCAGGCATGGTTTAACCTAAAAAACCTTTTATTAGTGTAGACCGGTGTCAGCACGGCATGGTGGATGCCAAGATCTGAATTTCCCTTCCTTTGCACATAACATTCCAGGCATTTCCCCTCCCCTATTTTGGGGTCATGATTCACATCTTCCAATTAACCTGGAGGGTAAAGATTCACTTCCATTCCTTTTCCTGGGCTTTCCTTATAATTCTCCTCCCCTTTCTCTGTTATCTGAATTAACTCTAAAAATACCAGACAGTTCTGCATATTTTGTCAAAGCAAGAATATTCAATATTAGCAGCGTTGACAGTATGTATGTATGTATGTATGTATGTATGTATGTATTTATTTATTTATTTATTTATTTATTTATTTATTAGATTTATGTTCTGCCTTTATTCTGCACAGCTCAAGGCAGGATGGATGGTGATCTAGCTAATTTCCCCCCACAACTAAAACATTTCCAGGTGTCTAGTTAAAGAGAGGTGAGAAACAGAAGTTGGATGTCTTCTATTATTCCTTCTTGAACCCTTGAACAAGTATTCATGCTCCCTGAATACTTTGATTGAATCAGCTTTTAACATTTCACTATATTTCACATTCTTTCATCTGTTATTGTATTATAATTTGCATCCCTTTATCTTTCATTTTCAGTATGGATAAAGCGTGTGTCCATTATACTAGACCGTTCAAAGTGACCACGGCGCTGTAAAAAGCGATTTATGATCATTTTTCACACTAAACAACCGCTGAAGCATCCCCAAGGTCATGTGATCAAAATTCAGAGGCTTAGCAACTGCCTCATATTTATGATGGTTGCAGTGTCCTGGGGCCACGTGATCACCTTTTGTGACCTTCTGGCAAGCAAAGTCAATGGGGAAGCCAGATTCACGTAACAACCATGAATGGTTCACTTAACAACAGTGGCAAGAAAGGTTGTAAAAGGGTACAAAACTCATTTAACAAATGTCTCCCTTAGCAACAGAAATTTTGGGCTCAGTTATGATTGTAAATTGAGGACTACCTGAAACCTATCAGTTATAAAGTCCTCAGTCATAAAATTGCCTTCCTGTTTCTTTCAAAGTCAGTTATGCAGAGGGCTGATGGCTGAGTCCTGTTGACTTAATCCTAGAAGTGACTGACTGGCCCTAAGTCATCCAGTGACTCTCCTGGCTAGGAATAAACCTGAACCTGGGTCTCTGGTTTATTCTAACATACTTTATCCTCTGTGCCACACTACCTCTGTAGTTCCAAGGAGTAAAAACTAATAAAAGCCAGATTTACAATGACAACAAAAATTTAAAAATACAGGTTGCATTGCAACCTTGTGAACAGGACTTCAAGCTGTGAAGCTGTTCTTGATCTGAACTTATGGAAGCTCTCAACGGCGCAACATGGTTTCATTAAAGTTATATTAGTCTTTGGAGTGGCTAAAAGGGTCTCGCCAGTTATTCATGAGAAATGAGATCAGTCTATTGGCAACACCATTCATTAATCTGATTTCTTTCGAAATGCTCTGAGTGGACATGATATGGTAGCCGGATCTGCATTTTAGATGCCTGTAATTATATTGATAGGATATGAAGGGGGGGGGGAAATACTGAGCTGACTGTTGCCGCAGTGCAGGGAGATGAGATAATGGAACAGCACTAGGCAGCCCTCTTCTGCAAGAGGATTGCAAAAAAAAAAAAAAAAGGACAGGTTTTTCCATTGCCAGTTTCAGCAGCTTTTTGCTGATAGGTGCGACCTTTTCCTAGTAACTGTGAAAAAAACAAAATCCTGATCAAAGAAGATAGCAAGGAGGCACTTCAGCCACACACTTGCAAGTAAACAGGTAAACCACCATTAGAAAGTACTTGAGTTAACATGTGAGTGTCAGTCGTGAAGAACTGGTGCATAACCACCTCTTCTTATTGTTATTGTGCTACCCTTCCCCTTAAGCCATGTCCTCATAGAACAGGGGTGTCAAACTCAATTTCATTGAGGGCCGCATCAGCATTGTGGTGCCTGCAGGGGGGCTGGGTGGGTGTGGCCCACTAGGTGGGCATGGCTGCGGTGGTCACAGCTGACTGGATGGGCATGGCTGCAGTGGGTGTGGCCACCTCGACATTGCTTGTGGGGGCTGTGCAGGGTTGGGGGAGATCCAGGGGGTCTCTGGTGGGTGGGACGGTGGGCAGGAAGCTCATCCTGCAGGGTGAGGAGAGGAGAGGCAGGGCGGGGGTGCCATTGCCATGGGGCAAGGCAAGGTGAGGCAGGGGCTGGGGCGGCTGCTGCCTGACACCATCAGCCCCCGCAAACAGAGGCCAGGGGGCTGGCCCCTTGACTGGTGTATTCTGGGGCTCCACAGCCCACTGCAAATACCAGGTCAGCCCTCCAGCAGCAGATGAAGGAGGGGGGAGGCACATGAAAGGGCCGGGTCCAGGGTGGTGGGGGCCAGTCCCTCACCATCTTCAGAGCATCTCCGCAGGCCAAATTTCAGCCAATTGCGGGCCAGATCTGGTCCGTGGGCCTTGTATTTGATATATCTGGTATAGGGTCTCCTGCTTGAGCAGGAGATTGGACTAGATCACCTACCGGATCTCTTCCAACTCTGTTATTCTGTTAATATGCTGATTCTGTAAACTGCTTAGAGAGTGCTATAAAGTACTATAAAGTAGTATATAAGTGCTATTGCTATTAAGATCTCTAAAATCTGTTGGCCTTGTCATTCATTAGCATGGAGGGGCTGGGAACAGGGGAAAGATAAGTATCGGTAATGGGAACAGTAAAGTTTACCTTGGCAGAATCTTCTGCTGACTCGAGCATAGAGAAGACCTTACAGCATGCCAACAAAAGAAATCTGTAGCAATGATTGAAGCTGCTCAAATGAGAGCTTTATGGGTTTACCACAAAAATCAGCTGGCCACAATAAGAGCAGAGATCAATAAATGATTTTTTTTTTCTTCCACCTCTTTCCCCTTCTCCCCTATAGTATACAACTGTAGAAGTGGATGGCTTTCCATAAGCGATTCTGAACTCTGCCATCTACATAGACCCCATTCCATGGCACAGTTTCTCCCTCTCCCAACCTCAGTTCTTATCTTTTGAGTTCCCTTCACACACAGGGCAATGCGAGAAGGGAGGAACTTCTGCAGTGAGTGGTAGAAGCAATTCTTTGGAGGATGTGCATTGGGCTAGTCAATGATGCAAATGGTGGGGGCCAGGAATTACAGGGTGGGACAGGCATTTTGGATACTATAACTGGGCACAAGAAGAGGTGAAGAGTGATGTTTGCATAAAACCACAATGATGTCATAATGATGATGTATCTGATAATAGCATCTCATAAATATAGTGAGTTGCATTACGATCTTCTTAAACATGTTAAATTATTTGCCCATGCACAGGTAACAGAATAACAGACCTGGAAAGGAATTTGGAGGTCTTTTAGTACAACCTTCAGACAGGAAACCCCATAACATTTCAGACAAATGGTTGTCCAATCTCTTCTTTAAAACCCCCAGTGTTGGAGCACCCACAACTTCTGGAGGCAAGCCATTCTACTGATTAATTGTTCTGTCAGAAAATTTCTCCTTAGTTCTAGGTAGATTCTCTCCTTGATTAGTTTCCATCCGTTGCTTCTTGTTCTGCCTTCAGTTGCTTTGTAGAATAGGCTGATCCCCTCTTTTTGTGGCAGCCCCTTAGACATTGTTCCTTCTTTTTACTAGACTAGACATACCCAATTCCTGCAGCTGTTCTTTATATGTTTTAGCCTCCAGTCCCCTAATTATCTTGGTTACTCTTCTCTACACTCTTTCTAGAACAGGGGTGTCAAACTCAATTTCATTGAGGGCCACATCAGCATTGCGATTACCCTTGGGGGGCCGAGTGGGTGCAGCCTACTGGGTGGGCGTGGATGGAGTGGGTGTGGCCTACTGGGCGGGCATGGCCAGCTCTACATCGTTCGCGTCAAGGGTGCCTGTGGGGGCCTGGGCAGGAGTGGGACAGATCTGAGGGTTTGGTCCATTTCTTCATTCCTCACAAAGGATGACACCTCCCCAGCATGCACCCAGGGGGTGGGGCTGATGCGGCAGGGGCTGGTTCCTCACTGTTTCCAGACGGCCTTGTGGAGCTAAGACTGAATGCATTTCAGCATAGATGGCCACCACAAAATTGTACATTTGCTCCCAGCTGGCCTGGACCAGGGTCAAGGCAGTGGGGGCCATTCCCTCACTGTTTCCAGGATGGCTTCGCGGGCCACATGAAACCACTTTGCGGGCTGCATTCGGTCCACGGGCCTTGTGTTTGACATGTCTGTTCTAGAGTCTCAATATCTTCTTTATATTGTGGTGACCAAAACTGGATGCAATATTCCAAAAATGGTCTTACCAGGCTTTATAAAGTGGTACTAACACTTTGACATGTGGAAAGCCATGGAGGGAATATGCAGGAACCTGTGTTTATTTTCTAAATGAAGTGAAGCTTATAGTTTATACTACAATTCCCACGTGTTTCTGCTCCTGATATGAAACTGTGGCACCAATTTTCAGCAGTATGATTAGCAGGGTCTCAGGTGGCAGTAATGGGGGAGGGATGAATGCACAGAAAGAATTTCAATAGCCAAAGAAAATGGCTTGTTTAATACCCCAGTTTGGCTGAATTCACATTCTGCTCTAAATTATTACCTACAATCTGTAAGTCACAATGGTAGGGTTCACACAACAGATCAAATCAGAGCTAAACAACCCATTTGGTGGCTAATACAATATGTGAATAGAATGAACCTTTTCTCTCTCTCAATTATACACAGGATTTATATTCATTTATTTGGAATCTTTAAAGAGGACATAACAAATTCTTAACATAGTATCAAAAGATTGTCTTTGTAACCAGGTTCCATCAGCATGGCCTAACATAGGGGTAGGCAACCTTGGCTCTTTTATGACTCGTGGACTTCAGCTCCCAGAATTCCTGAGCCAGCCAAGCTGGCTCAGGAATTCTGGGAGTTGAAGTCCACGAGTCATAAAAGAGCCAAGGTTGCCTACCCCTGGCCTGACAGAACTAGTATCTTTCCAAGAATGGCAATTCTTCCCGATTAGTTTACAGAATCTGAGATGGATGTGTGAATGATGAATTATAAATAGTGTAATCTCTGCTTGGTGGGATTCCTTGCTGGTGTTGTTTCTTCTTGCCCACCCTCCTCAAAATACATAAATCGAAGCAGTGAATTTCTGAATCTGGTCATAAAATGTCTCTCTCACTATGTATCTTCTCTGAAATCCATTACAGCTTTATAAATAGCACCTGCTTGTTTGTTTTCTCCTATCATCCTTCTTCTTTCATTCCAAATCCTGTACAGTAAAAGAAAAAAAGAAAAGCTATGGATGATATATTATAGAATATTTAGTGTGATTGGGATGCTTTCCCATGGATCAGCTTTTAGACATTAATTATGGTACCAATAATAATTAAAATACTAAATGCAATTTATGTAACATTTTTCTAAAGAGTATCTTGCATTTTAAGATATTGAGTTCACACAACATTTTTAGGACCACACAAACCATATTTTGGGCTAGAACAATGTGAGACCCCAGACACTGCTTGCTTGTTCATAGTGTAACATGTTCATAGCATAACCCACCATTATCGTTTGTTAACTGTGATTGTATGAAACTAGCAACCATAGTTTATTACCAAACATGATTTAACAAAATAATGGCTTTCCAAGTCAGTAGTTTGGATGAAGGCCCCTCTTCCTGGCTTGACTGTAAACTGGCTAAGTATCTCGGCTCCTGTGTATATTTATTTTGGAGGCTTTTTTATTGTTTTTTATTGTTTTTATTGTTTTAATTGTAGTATATTTTTTTAGTTGTAAACTGCTCAGAGACATTGACTGAGATGGGTGGCTGTAGAAATTGAATGCGTAAATAAATTAAAAAATGAGAGATGCAGCTTGATTTTTCAGACTTTAGGAAGAAAACAAAAATAGCAAGAACCTGAGAAAAATATAATTAAAATCTAAATAACATTTGGCTGTTTTTAACTGAATCTTCCAATAAGCTACAGTACCTCACTCTCTCCCTTGGTCAGACTGAAGGCACAGAATGAGAGAGATGTCTAACCTAGAGATTATATATAGTCCTCAACTTATAGCTATTTGTTTAGTGACCACTGAAAGTTACAACAGCACTGGAAAAAAATGATTTTAAACCAATCCTCATACTTACAACCCTCACAGCACCCCCATGGTCACATGATCAACATTCCGTTGCTTGGCAACCAGCCTGTATTTACGATGGTTGCAGAATCCCAAAATATGATCACCATTTGGGACTTTCCCAGCTGGCTTCCAACAAACAAAATCATTTGAGGAAGTCAGATTTGATTAATGACCACACGATTCACTTAACAAGAGCAATAATTCACTTAACAACTGTATCAAATTTTTTTATCAAATCTGGAGCAATTCATCTGAGAACCACATCGCTTAGCAATGGACATTTTGGTCACCAATCTAGTCATAAGTCAAGGACTTCCTGTACTGCCTCAGACTTTTTCTCATCTCATACATACCTTACCTGTAAATAGTTAGATAAATATTATTCCATATTAACTCAACACAATTGCCGCCCCAGTGACCGAAAGGACTCCAATTTTTGAATATTATCAAACACCTTTTGGGGCTAAAGAGTCATTGCTTTCTTTTAAAAGCATCCAGACACATACTTCTCCATATGTTGTGATATTAATGCATACATGAACTGGCAGCTGAATTTTATAATTTCTGCGTATACGAGAGGGAAAGCACTCTGCAGTGTTATAGTAGACCAGGTTATTCTTTTCACTTACAGGCAAAGAAAGAAAGAAGCAAGGAAGGGACTTTGTGTCTCTTGGTATTTTATCTGGTCTACTAATAACTGTATCAGCAGGTTTATAAGCTGATGTTCTTTTAATTGTTTCGCCCCCTCCTCTCATATGCATAAACTAATGGGCACACTACTTCTTGTCTTTTTTTTTTTAACTGCTAATGGTTTCTCCAGTAATATAAAATGAATGATGGCACAGTCTGAGATAAACAAAAGAAAAAAATCAATATGCATCCAGAGACCCCAACTGTAAAAGCAGGAAAAAGCTGCCTCTGCAAGA